ATCAAGTTGAACGGGTCTTCACTCCCTTCGCGCTCAGTGGAAGAAGAGAGATGGCTTTCATATTTTCTCTTCTAGATCGCCGCTTTCGATTATCCGACCCGGGAGACGGTCCAGTTTTTCCGAAAAGGCCAAAATGGATTGGGCCCAAAATTACCAGAACGGGCACCGATTGAAAATCAAGCACTGTTAGCCGTGCCGAGGGGGAAAGGTCAATCCGCTCCCATTGTCAGCCCTCTGTGTATAGTTAACTTTCTATTTCGACCAAGGACGTCTTATGTTTACGGAATACTTACATCAGATTCAATGCTATATGTCTGGTTCAACGGTCAAGGAAACTATTTTTTAGTGGGGGAATTTTTTTTTACTTCTCCTACATTACTTAAATATTACTTCCTACATCTGTGTATGCCCCCTCCTCTACCGTTGCATTGAATGAGAGGGGGGATTTTGAAAATCCAAAGATTAATTGGTGGTTGTTTCAACGTACAATTATGGAGTGGGCACTTTCCTTGAAATAACCACGCGAGGCCGAACTAGTGAAATTAGGGCAATAAAAGTTGAATCGCATGCTGTAAAAAATCCCCTATTTTGAAAATAGTTCAAAAGTGAGTAAAATCCGATTTTGACATACAAAACAAATCCTGAAGATTTTTTTACCTAGACTGTTGTACGTAGATTAGGATTAGGATTACCTATGGAGTACTTCATTATTTAGTTTGAGAAAAGACCAAAAAAAATGAATAAATAATAAATATCCCAAAACGTGCAATAAAATCGTTAAATCGTAACAAAACTAAAGTGTAATAAAAAATCTCAAAACATCCAATAAAAATCCCCCACGCGTGTAGTAAAAACCTCAAAATGTGTATAAAAAAACTCACGAAACTAGTTTCGCCCAAATTTTGGTGGCTGGATAAAAAAGTATAACAAAAAGCTCAAAACGTGTTAAAAACACTCTCAAAACATGTAATAAAAACCTCGAATCATACAGCAAAAATCTTAAAACATGTAATAAAAATGTCAAAATGGAAAAAATCCTCGACACGTGCAATACAAACCTCAAAACGGAAAAAAATTTGAAACTTGTATTAAAAATCTCAAACGTATAAAGAAACACTTTGAAAACATGCAATAAAACCCTTTAAATGTATAGTTGAAAAACCTCTTGAAGCGACGAAAAATATTGAAATGTATAGATAATATATAAAAACTTGCAAACTTGTAAAAACCTCAAAACCTGCAGTATATCCTCAAACGTGCAAAATCCTTCAGACATCCAGTACAAAACGTCTAAACGTTAAAAATCCTCAAAATCTATAAGGAGGGGGCCTCGAAACGTGTTTTTTTTTAAACGTCAAAACGTACAGTAAACAATAAATAAATAAACGTGTGTTTAAAAACCCTCAAAACATGCTGTAAAAAAACCTCAAACGTATAGTGTAAAAAAACCTCAAAACTTGTAATAAAAAGCTTGAAATGTTCAATGTTGATAACTTCAAAAGCGCTAAAAATGTCGAAACGCGAGGAAAAAAATAAACACCTCAAAACCTGTAATAAAGTTCGACACATTCAATAAAAACCTCACAACGTGCTGTAAGAACGTCTAAACTTTAAAAAGCCCTACCCTCGAAACGTGGAAAAATCTGAGAAACATTCAATAAAAACCTCGAACCTTTTTAACAAACTTTGAAACTGTAATAACAACATCGACACATGCAACAAAACCTCAAAACGTGCAGTCAAAGCTTTTAAAACTTCGACAAATGTGATTATTTGATATTAAATTATTTATACGCTAAAAAAATATTCCTTGGATGTGGATTTTCACATTTTTTTCTATTTTTATTTACAAACATGCAATAAAAAGCTTGAAATGTGCAATAATAACTCAAAAGAACAGTACAAAACTTCAAAACGTGTAATAAAAACCTTAAAACGGATTTAAAAACCTCGAAACATGCAGTACGTTGTAATGTATGTAGGTAAAAATGTGTATTTAACATTTATATAACTAAATCAAGTATTGTCTTAAGCATTGTATATGAGGTAAATATTTCATAATCAATCGATTTTACTCACATTTAAAATAAAAGGTTTTACGTATCAGCGGCGTAATGTTGGTTGTAATTGGTTAAAAGTTTAATCACGTCGTTCCAACGCAAGGACGGTAAAAAGGTCAAAGTATGTGTTTGTACAAGTTAAGTCCAAATTTAATATATTAGTATTTAATTGAAAAAATTATTATCCTTAAAGTAGTAAGGAAAGTACATAAGGAATAATTCAGAGATGAAAAGGAGGGTAGGAAAGCCCTCGAGAAATATCAGGGACGACTTAAGAACATCACACTGCATTATGTGTCTACGTTGTGTCATGGCGTAACACGATTCCGTCTCCTTACATAAGTTTAGAAAACAAAGAAAAAAGTAGAAAAAAGGAGATGCTTAAAGTGAACATAGAATTAAATGCGTGTTCTTGAGGACAACACACGCACAAAAAAACCAAAGTCAAAAATCAAGCCTCAGAATGAAGTCTAATTCACAAATCTATGTAGTAATCATGGAGCCGCCGGCTCCTCACATTTTGTCTATCTTGCATTTTCTATTACATTTATCTTTGACGTTTAACCATTCCACACGTGACTGAAATGACCTAAGTCAATTAATACGGTTGGGAGGCCGGCCAGGTGCTTTTCACCTTCATGCCCTCGTTTTATTCACGCAAATAAATACATTAACACAGAATTAAAATCATGCATTCACTATACTATTTAGTGAACCTAATTGGTTGGAAAGGTCTGTGTGGTACCCGATATTCCACATAGACCATACGCACATAACCGCACTTAACCACTCAAGCAAATAACTATATTAAAACAATCGGGTTTAGTAGTAATATAGTAAGCGGGTTGACTCATTTTACTTTTTTATATAGCTTTTTTCCAACAATATTTACCCTTTTTACACACCAAATTAACATTTTTCAATTTCAAATGACCTCTTTCTTTTTAAATTTCTATCTTTCTACCTTCAAATTAACTATTTTTAACTTTAAATTATTTTTTCAAAACTAACCATTTGCAACTTCAAATTAATGCTTTTTAACTTTAAATTAGCACTTTTAACTTCAAATAACTATTTTTAATATTTTTAACTGAAAACTATTTGTAACTTTAAATAAATCCTTTGTACCTTTAAATTAAACCGTTTTTAACTTCAAATTACGCCTTTTAACCTCAAATTGATCCATCTTACTTTCAAATTAGCGCTTTAAATATTTGAGAATTTTTTTGACAAAATCAAAATTTTATAAAATAAAATATTAAAATAAAGGCTTCTTCTTTTAATTTGAGAAATGTGTGAAATTGCGGTTTTTAAGAGCCTAAATATTTTGTAAAAAAAAATATCTCAAATTTCTACTGGAGTAACACCAAGAACAATAATTGGTTTTTATATTGAATACTATATAATTTTTTTATTTTAATTATAATTAATTTTCATATAGTGTTTTAAGAGCATTTTTTTTTTCAAAAGGAATAATTTCACTTTTCGTGCTTTCATTTTAAACCATCTTCTATGTTTTTATATAAAAAAAAGGGTTTATTTGAAAGTAAAAAGGCCATATAAAATTAAAACTAATTAATTTGAAATTAAAAAGCCTAACAGTAAATTAAAACGAATTAATTTGAAGTTAAAAACGGTTGATTTGTAATTAAAAAGGTTTAGTTCGAAGTGGAAAAAAGGTTAATTTGAAATTCAAAAGGGTTAATTTAAAATCAAATGTTAAATGGAAATAAAAAAGGTTAATTAAAAGTTAAAAACGCCTAATTTTAAATTTAATAAACTTAAATTGACGGAAAAAAGCTATATTACGCCTGACATAACCCCCTCTAGTACATTATATATGTAAAACTAAATAACCTAGATTATTTTGGTGTGTTTGAGCACTCGATATTCCAATAGTGACCATGTTCGTACACACTTAACCTCTCACGCGAATAAATACATTCACACTATTGGGCTTTGGTATTAAGCCAGTTCCTCCCCCCTCTAATTACACTGCTAAATGTATTACACAAAACTAAATAACCAGATTACTTTGATGTGTCTGTGAGTACTCGATATCCTATCGCAAACGCACCTAAATATAACTTTCACGCTACTAAATAGATTCGCTCAAAGTAAGAATATCAATTCAACCGACATATGAACGGGCTCCCTATATGTGACCATAAACCTTTCTCTGCTTGAGGTATCGGGTCAATTTATAATCACTACTACGCTTTAAAAGTTTTTTAAAGTATGCGGGTAGGCCACACGTAAAGGGCATCTCTGTGGTCTTTCCTTGTTGAGGAGATGGTCATGTGTCAGCCTGGTGTGACCTATCCGCTGATAGACAATGTTATCCTTTCTATTTTACTATTTATTCTTATCAATATTATTGAATCCGTCCGATGGGATTTGAGAGAATAGCACATTTTTAAATTTAACTATTCTATTGGCAGACTTTGTTTGGTGTCGGTTTGAGCAAATGGGACCTCTGAAAGGAGGAACAATTTTCGACAAATGAACTTGGTACGAGGCCTTAAATTACTTGCTAACGGCCATCAATTGCCCACTAGTCCTGTCACGTCCCGTTTTTCAACTGTTACCGAACGTTTGGATTGCGCAAATATTTCCTTCAAATTTCTTTATTCCTATTTGGTGGTAAAATCTAGGACGTCTATTCCACAACATTTTTGTATACCAGTGGGCTTTCTTTTTTCTTGACTCCCTTTTTTGAAAACTTCTTCAACTTTTTTTTCACTCGGTGATTAAATTTGGATAATAAATTTCTTCTGCTTACAAGCTTCTCGAACTTTAACCCGTTTCGAATGAAATGGCCCTAAGCAATGCTGGTTTGTAATTGGCGAAGGTTTGTCGGATTGAATATTGTATGCCTTGGAGGGTTGTCCTCCATCCTTCTCATAAAAATGATTAAAATGATCTGATAACTGTTTTCAGCCGTTTTGCTGTTGGCAATGGCGAGCAGCGGAACGTGTTCAGGCCCCGTTTACAAGACGAACGCGGAAATCGCTGCCAGCACCGGCGAGACGGCGGTGGACGGGCTCACGACGCAGACGGTCTACGGCTTCCTGGATTTCACGACGACCATCGCCAACACCGTCATGGTCTTTTCACCCCAGAGCCAGAAAGGTAAACTATTTTAACGCGACATTTGGACACTGATGGGTTACTAAGCAAAGGAAACCGGAAAAACTGCATTTGTAGTTTGTAGTTTAGTGAAAAAGAAAAAACCAGTTGCACAGTTTAAGAAAACCGTATAAAGATGATATATTTTAAATAAAAATGAAAGCCAACATCACGATGTCTCAAACGGATTGATGGTGAAATTATGCATACCGAAAAGACTCGGCGATTTCTTTATCACGATTTCTTACATGAACGTCAAATGATTACGAAAGACATCGGTGCTTAAAAAAAAGACCGTTGGCGGTACATGCGTTGTTATCAGTTTATTTAGCTTAAGCGACGAGATTCAGAAATGACATGCTGTCCCCTCTTTAGATGGTTTATACGCCACCATGTGCAAAAAAACATATAATAATCCTTGAAACGTGAAAAAAAAACGACAAGACATAAAAAAAACCAACCCCGAAACAAGCAATAAATTGAAACGCGAAAAAACGTGCAGTAAAACGTGGACACGTGCAATAAAAACAATAAAATGCATTGTAAAAACCTCGAAATGTGCAGTCAAAACCTTGAAACGTGCAACTAAAACCGGAACCTTAAAGAAAAACATCAAAATCTGCAGTAAAAATCTTTCAAAACGTGAAAAAAACCAATCTTGAAATATTCAAGGAAAACAACAAAATTTGCAATTAACCCCCTCCCCCCGAAACATGGAATAAAGATCTCGAAAAAGTACAGGACACGTGCAATAAAAACTTCAAAACGTCAGAAAATCGGATAATAAAAACCTCAAAATGTACAGCAACAATTTCTCAAAACGTGAAAAAAGTCAAGATGTAAAAAACCAACTCCGAAACGAGCAATAAAAAACTTGAAACGCGGAAAAAAACGTGGAGTAAAAACATGGACACGTGCAATAAAAACTTGAAAACGTATAGTAAAAACCTCAAAATGCGCAGTCAAAACCTCGAAACGAGCAACTGATACCGGAACATTAAAGAAAAACATCAAAATCTGCAGTAAAAATCTTTCAAAACGTGAAGAAAAAATCTTGAAATATCCAAGGAAAACAACAAAATTTGTAATCAACCCCCTCCCCCCCGAAACATACAATAAAGATCTCGATAAAGTGCAATAAAAACCGCAAAACGTTCAAAAACTTGACACATGTAACAAATAAAAACCTTGAAACATGCAGTAAAAATATCGAAACGTGCAATAAAAATTGTAAGGGAAGAAAAAACCAAAACGTGCAGCAAAAATCTTAAAGCGTGGAAAAAGAACCCTTGCAAGGAGCAAAAACCTTCAATACATACAAAAATCCTCGAAAATTGCAATAAAACCCCCGAAACATGTAATAAAAACTTCAAAACGTGCAGAAATACTTCGAAACGTAAAAAACAACCACAAAACGTGCAATCAAAAATTCAAAATGTTCAGTTCACCCACAAAACATGCAAGAAAACCATCTAAACGCGTACTAAAAACATCAAAACCTACACAAAAACAGACATCTAAACGCGTAGTAAAAACCTCAAAAGGTGCAGTAAATACATTAAAACGTACAGCAAAACCTCAAAACGTGCAACAATACCGGGATATTAAAGAAAAACCTGAAAATGTGCAATAAAATCTCTCAAAACTAAAAAAAAAACCTTGAAATATCCAAGGAAAACCTCAAAATTTGCAATCCCCCCCCAAACAATCAATGAAGATATCGAAAAAGTGCAGTAAAAACATCAAAACCTTATAAAAAAAAAACCCTGCTTGCAATAAAAAACAAAATGTGTAGTAAAATCTGCTAAACGTGTTACCCTGTTTAGATGGTTCATCAGCCACCAGGTAGCATGCCAAAACGGTCCAAATTTATTTCCCATTTTAATAGCATTCTGAATTTTTAGGTTCTATAAACGGATTTATTACCCCTAGCATCATAGATTTCAAGCCAATTGATTTACAAAACAGTTGAAAAAAAAACTTATAATTTTGAACTAAAAAATGTGTTTTTAGAATTCCATTTATAACGCAAAAGGTTTGCGTAATCAAAATTTTTACCCCATAAAAAATACCTTTCTAACGAGAAATTTACGGTAAATTCCAAAACCGACTGCTTTATTTTGGAGCAGAGAGAAAGGTCGCAATCCCGCACTACTGCTCTAAACTACAATGGGACGCACGAAAAGTGGCCTCCATTAATATTTTATTTAAATTATCTCATAGACAATCCTCCATTGATTATCTTACAACAATATCTGTTCCTTTTTAAAAGATTAGAGGCAAATAAAACCCAGATAAAATCTCCCACTTGTGTTTATAATTGGATTTCGTAAATAAAACTTTGAATGGTCGATCTCTTCTTGGTGTGTTATGTTTTGGACAAGCCTATGGAAGGTCGTACAAATTTGATCTTCATCGAGGGTTCCCCTACAGTTGCGCAATACATTGAAGTTGCGCAATCAGAAAAAGTTGTTCCTTATATGCCACTAATTGGCGACAGTTTTATTTTTATGCATGACAATGCAAGGCACAGCTAGAATTGTTGGTGACTACTTGGAACGGGCTTCAATTCAATATTTGGAGTGGCCAGCATGTAGTCCCGATTTAAACCCTAGCGAACACCTTTGGGACCTGTAAAAAGTTGCCCAGTGATGCCAGAGAACTTGCAGAAATTAAGGATGGCGCTGTTGTAAAATTTTCTACAGCACTACATTCAAAACCTCATAAATTCGATGCCACCCGAATGCAAGCGGTGATCAACGCAAGAGGAGGAAATATTCCATACTGATTAATTAAGGTTTTTAGTTGAGATAAAAAAGTCAGTGGCACGAGCGGGATTCGAACCCACGATCTTCGGCTTGATACGCCGCTGCTCTACCACTTGAGCTATCGTGACCTCGATCTACTCGGACATCAACTTCCTATCTCAACCCCACCTTATGAGTTTTCCCTCCTTTTTGCCATTTTTCTAAAAACCTTAATTAATTGTAATGATTTAATTGGTCAAGCGGACCACGAAATTAGTGAATTTAAAAAATTCCATACTGATTTGAATATTTTCTTCATTTCAATTAATTATACTTTTATCTAAAGTACTGGTTGAGATGAAAAGTTAAGTAAGTCTCACGAGCGGGATCCTAACCCACTAACCCACGACCTTCGGCTAGTCTAGGCTAGGTTTAGATGAAAATTTAATTTAATTATTTGAAATAATTCAACAGGTCGATTATGACAGCTAAACACATAAGGATTTTCTTCATTGTTTCCATATCAACATTTTTGGCAAAATTGTTCAATTTTTAGCTGTATCTTATATTTGTCTTAAAAAATATCCAGTAATCAAAAAAATAAACAAATAAATAAAATGTATAACAATTGTAAGTATTTGTTTAAAAAAACGAGGGTGCCACTTTTTTGCCTTTCAGCGTATTTACTCCATCAAACTCACTTATATAAGGGGAAGACTTTTTTTAAATGAGCCAGAATTTGATTCTACGACTTTTCCTTACAACAACAATATTAATTTACTATATTTTATGCTTTTTCCAAAATAAACGATAATTTTTGTGACACAATGTAATAACCATAAAATAACATAAGAACTAATGAAACACAAAATAACAAAAACATTCATAGGAACATTGATTAATTAACTTGATTTTAATTATTCATTATATTTTCATGGTTTTATATTTAAGCTAACGGCTAGGTATAGAATAGAATCATTAATTTGACATGGTTATGTTTTTGGGCTGGATACACAAATTTGTGATTGACCATTTTCGCGTTACCTGGGAGTCCGCATGGGCTGGTTAGGTAACGTTAAGAATGGTTAGGCTTGTCTGAATTAGGATTAGGTAGGGTTAGGGAGGGATTAGGTTAAGTTTGTTAGAGATAAGGTTTGGGTAGGCAAGTGGTTAGGGAAATACTCCATACTGAATTGAATATTTTCTTTATTTTAATTAATTATACTTTTATCTAAAATCTTGCTTGAGATGAAAAAGTTAGCGTCACGAGCGGGATTCGAACCCACGACCATTGGAAAGCTTAAAGTACACTTTAAATAAAATTATAATTAATTGAAATAATTAAATAGATCTATTATGACAGCTAAACTTACAATAATGTTTCCTTAGCAACATTTTTGGTAAAATTGTGTAATTTTTTAATTTAGCTGTATCTTATATTTGTGTTTAAAAAAATCTAGTAATTATCAAAAAATAAAATAAAAATAAAAATTATACCAATTGCAAGTATTTGCTATAAAAAAACGAGGGTGCCACCCTTTTTGCCTCTCAGTGTATTTACTCCATCAAACTCACTTATGTAAGGGGAAGACTTTCAAAATGAGCCAGAATTTGGTACTACGTCTTTTCCTTACAATAACAATATCTATTTAATCAATTTTACGCCTTTTCCAGAATAAATGATAATTTTTGTTACACAATGTAATATGAATAAAATAACATAAGAGCTAGCACTAATGAGACAAAAAATAACAAAAAACATACATAGGAAATAAATAACAATATATACTTGTATAATAAAATTATTTGTAAATTATCGATAGATTGTTTGATTTATATAGGCTCAATTCTGCACATGTATAAACATGTACACACATAAGTGCAGAATCGAACCTATGATTTTGAAACTTTGAAAGGTTTAAAGTTTTCCAAATTTAAAACAAATAATAGGGGTCCATTTAGCTTTAAAAACAATCAAAAATGAGTCCGCGTTTTTTCTAGCTATTTTGAAAAACTACAGTATAATGAAAAAGCTACGATAAATTTGTTCGTCCAAGCCTGAATTTCATTGGTACTGCGACGGCATCTCGGAGAATGCCGATTAGAATTCTACTGGCATCGTCGAGTCCTGCCCGTGAAGCACTGCGAATGGAATGAGAAAGTTGGCGAGGCAATGCGCCCGTGTTTCTCAATCCGGCGAGATTTAATGAGAAAAACTGCGCTAAAAACACTGAAATTAATGGAGAACGTGACTTGACTCTGGGTAACTGTCAGTCGTGATGGTCAGGAGGCCTTTGTCTTTAAGGCTCTCTCTGACGTGTTCGGCCACTTGCGAAGGCGACGGTCCTCGACATTTTCAACGGCCGGGAAGAGGTACGGGCCGTAATTTGGACAAACAATGGGTTACCGTTCAATTTGGACTAGCAATCCGTGATAGGTGAAAAAGGTCCTTGGCAAAGGACTATGCCTACATTGCTAAAACGCGTATCATAAAACATACGATTTATGCTCCCACATGGATTAATTAACTTGAGTTTAATTATTCATTGTATTTTCAATAAGTTTTATATTTAAACTAACAGTCAGATAGAGAATCGAATCATTAATTTAACATGGATATGTTTTTGGGCCGGATACACAAATTTTTGATTGACCATTTTTGTGTCACCTGGGAGTGCAATTAGGTTACTTTAGGAATAGTTAGGTTTGTCTGAATTACGATTAGGTAGGGATTAGGTTAGGTTTGTTAGAGACAAGGTTAGGGTAGGAAAGTGGTTAGGGATAGGATAAAGGTTAGGATTAGGGACAGGTTAAGTGGGTGATGATCATTTTGTTAATATTAGTCTTTTCTGTCTTTTGTAAGCAGATAAAGTGATGAGATATGCGTGAGATATCGTTATTTCTTAGAGAAGAATGTGGAGGCTAGGTTAGAATTTGGGCTTGGGTTAGAGTCATGGTTAGCATTAGGGGCTGGTCATCATATCTATTCGAAAGTGGAGTTAAGAAGATCAAGCAAATGGGATAGGAAAATACTGTTAGTGAAGGATATGATTTGGATTTGGGTGAGAGCTAAGGACAAATTAGATTAGGTAAAAATAAATCTTGAATTGAGTTAGGGACGGGTCAGATTAGGTTAGGTGAGGTTAGAGCTAGAGGCTTGTGGCTGGGCAGATGAATATGGTCATTTATTTTATGAATATGGTCGTTTATAGGCAGATAAAGTGAAGTTTTGAAAGTCAAGCTGTTGAGAAATTTTCCTGTCCTCATAACTTTAGGTTAGGTTAAGGCGGTTAGGTCTACGATTATAGTTAGGGTTTGAGTTAAGGCTAGAGTTAGGTTTCATATCCATGATTCAATGTTTTTCCATCAAGCGGAGAAAATTACTGGTCACTATATTTGCTCCTTCTATTTAAAAGAGTACTAGAAATGGAAGAGAATCTTACTATTTGACTGAAAGCACAGTGAACAAATTTGAGTGCCAAACTAATTAAGATTTTAGAAAATATATATGAGAAAGACTTGACCGTGGTCAAAAGAGGTACCAGCCTCACAAACAAAATATAAGAAATATCAGCCTTTAGTATTTGTATTATTAATGTAAAAAGTCTACATTTAATTGAATATTTAAATGTATACACTTTTGATTTGTTTATTTTTTCAGTGGCTGAAATAAACCCAACACCAGTTGTGAAAATCCCCCAAACAACACCTCCTCCTGTGGTTTCTACTAAGGTTGAAGTCAAAACTAATCCTAATAGCCAAGCTGTTGAGAAGCCTAAGGCAAAACCTCAGCCACCAAAAGTGAAGGTGGAGGTATCAAAACGAACTGACGAAAAAGTGGCTAAAAATCAACAACCCAAAAGCCTGTCGGTCAATGTTGTAAAATCAGTAGGTACAGGAGAAGTGAAGACTGATTTGAAAAAGAAAGTCACAGTTAGCTCGAATAAAAACCAAGAGAGCAAAAAAGAGGATGCCAATTCTCTATTTGCAAACCGTTTGGATCAATCGGATGACCTGACAAAATCACCATCTGAAAAGCTGAGTGAAACATATAAGGTTTGTATGTTTCATTATTGTTCATTGGATTATGCACTTACTATTGTATGTATGTACACTTTGTATTTATAGTTTTTATTATAGTTTTTTCCATCGAATTAACCAATTTTTAACTTCAAATTAATGTTTTTCTCTAATGGAGAATAGAAAACAAAAAGCCTGAACCATTCACTAGATACTAATTAATACTGTTTATTATTTTTCAAGTTGTTCATCAAGCTATGTAGTATCTTAAGTAATGATTTAGGTTGTAAAGCACTGCAGTGTAACTATTAACTGTATAGACATTTGTACAAAGTACAACCTATAATTTCTGTGTGATGAAATGTGATTTTTTTTAAATAGATAATTGAAGTCGGATCTTCTGTTAAGTCGAGAAACGAGCCAACAGGATTGGTGACAAAATTGGGAGGCACCGTTGTCAAAGATGGGCTTACGACAGTTCACGAGACCAGTGTCATTGGGACTTACATATCCGGAAAATATGCCCAAGTGCTAAAGAGCAATTCACGTGTCGTCCATAATCAATTGCCATCTATCCATAAATCCATTTCTCCTGTCATTAAAACGAAGCATCACATAGAGCCGACAGTGCTAGAAGACAGCCTCCCCCTTGAAGCTCTTTTCACAACTGCCTCTGGTCAAACATTGGTCCGGCACACAAGAAGGCCTGCGGTTTCTCCACCATTCAAAAACAGACTGCAGAGAACTAAGTCCCAACAGCAAGAACAACCTCCATCCACTGAACAACCATCACGATTAGATAAAAAGAAATCAAAACCAGCATTTAAGTATGAATAAATTTTACTCATTGATTTACTATTTTTGCCTTGTCTAAAGTTTACTGTAATTAATTATAATGGTAGTTGATGCGGGGTGTTGGTCTGCAAGTAGGTGAACTCAACGGTGACCGACACCCAGTATCAACTCTAAAACAGCCAGTAAGGCTACGTTACTTTCAAAGGTTTGTTCATAAAACTAATGAACTATACAACTCTATTGCTAACATTTAGTTTACCCATGAGTGAAGAGAGATGCAATGCCGGTTCAGCAAAAAAAGATATAGTTAACACAACGTCCTATGTGTTTTAGGTTATCCCATAACAGGTTTACAAGGACGAGTGCTAGTGAAGTTCCTACAGTATCAGTATTTCCTGAGACAATTGCTACGACCAGGCGTTATCATAGACAACGTTCAGCTTCGTCCACAGTTAACAGCAACAACATAGAAACTGGCTCGAGGCGTTATAAGCCCAGACCTAGTTCTGTTATTGCTGAAGCGTCAACAAGTCTGTACAAGTTTAAACTGGCTAGGCCGCAGGGAAGGTGGCACTACAAAACAACACCCAAACCTCGTGTTGCGATCAGGAGACAAGATGAAGAAAATCCGACTATCCAGTCGACACCGACACTTCCTGAGTTAGAACAAAGTGAGCAGCAAGTGGAGCTGAGTGAAAGTCAAATTTCACCTTCTGCTACTCCAACTCCATCACTCCCTATTCATACCATCAAGGTTGAAATATCAACTCCATCAAATTTCAGCAATGTCTATTATGAAATCGCCACCATCAAATCACCTTACACATTCCAGGTATCTTAAATGTTTTGTTTAAATAGTTACTCAATTTACAATGATAATCTAACTGTATCCTTTGCAGGTGGGAACTGTCAAAAATACACGTTATATCACATTGACGTCTACATTTGAAAAATTGCTCGTTCAGCCAAGTAGTTCTTCCAGTGAGCCGCTGACAGAAAACATCTTGATGAAAACTCCTGTTTACGATAAAGAAGCTCCTGTTGTGACACTGCCTCCAATAAATATCGCTGCTGGAGAGATAGTACCGCTAGAAACGATGACCGACACATTTAGCACTAGTGAAATTTTACTCAAAACTCATCTTCTTCCAGTTGTCAGAGACAGTAATACAACAACAATAACTTTGGTGCAAACGTATGAAGTAACCAAAGTTGTCAGCGCAACTAAAACACTACCACCAACAGAATTATTTCAATTTATCCCCAGTAAAACACTTAATGAATTTAATACACGACTTGATGAAGCTGGATCTGAATTACACTTAGAGTTAGACTTTGGAGATAACGACAATGATGAGGAACAACATTCGATTGCAGTACTACCTGACTTTCCCAATGCTACAATTGAAGAAGTAACCTCGACTACTCCTCAACCGACCCAACCTCCTCAAGAACAATTGACTCCAGAAAAATTGCAACAGCTTGCATTTTTAAGATTGCTAAATCCTAATCAGCCTCCAATAGTTACATCAACACCAGTGCTCTCGGTTCAGACTGTTTTTGAAACACACGTTATTCCAGTTTTTAACGGCCTCAGCACTGTGTTTAGCACAATTTCAAGACCGGTGAAGACAGTAACAAATACCCAGTATATGACAAGTACGGTACAACTGCCAAGTCTACCATTGCCATTTTTGCCGACACAACCACTCCTTCAACCCATGATCACATCCAGCCCGGTTGTAACACAAACAATTATCACCCAAACCAATTCTAAAGTGCTTCGATTAACGTTTGGCGCTAAGACAGCGTATACAACTTTATATTCAACCACTGTCCTGCCCACATTGCTTACGACATATTTGACAACTCAAGTGCCGATTCAACCGACTGTCGGTCCTTACCCTTCACCATTTTTCCCTCCATTCAATCCTTTCTCATTTGTCGGTTAGGTCCGAATGTAATGATGGATAAAGAATTGTACGAAGAACATGAGATTGCTTAGGAGAAGTGAAACCTAAACTTGGATATAACTTTTCTGTCTTAATTTACGCTTAAAAATGAATTTCACATACTGGCTTGTACACAAAATTCATTGTAGCTATTAAAATACAATTCAATTTATTGCTAACAATTGTTTCAAAGAAAAGTGTTTAAATTATTTCCAGTATAAATAATGCATGTAAAATAGGGATAAAGTGTTTATTTAAATTATTTAACTGGCATAATGAACAAAGATTATAAAAATCCTCTTTTTTCAATTCTTTTTCTTTTCCTTCTCCAAAACAGTAATTTTGCTCCAATGATATGTTGATATTAATAAAATAATATTATTGCTTTGCGTTACTGTCAGTAGGAATTTATTTTCTGAAATATTTTTATTCGTTTAAGATGTTTTTAAACAAAAACGGAATCAAATATCATTTTAAAGTTTCTATTTTGCCATTAGAGCCTAAATTAATCTATCGATGTATTTTTTCTTCAAAAATACAAAAGAATTTTTTATGTTGTTTTTATTTATGTATTTTAGGATTAAGATTTGTTTTAAAGATTGTATAAAATCAAATGTTACCAATTTCCTTTTACACTGTGAACCTGGTTCACGTACTTTTTAAATATATTAATATTTAAATGTAAGAATTGTACCATAAACAAATATTACTTGTACTTGCTTTTAAAAACGAATTTGCCTTTCAAAAAGCCATTCCTACCATACCCATATATGTATTTATTTATTATGTTTCTATTAAATTTATAAAAAAAGTTTACTTGTCATTTTAAATTTTTTTATGTTGAATTTCTTTTTGAACAATAAGAAAAGCAACCAACAGTGTTTTAAATTTTAACCAATTATAAATAATTAAAAATTTATTTTTTTTGTACATTTTTTAAATGTAATATGTAACTTAACTTCTGATTTCTAATAAAACATTTGTTTTGTGAATGTTTCTTTGTTTGACATTCCTTCTACTGATTTTATAAATAACCTAAAAATCTTAAATGGTTGAGTCACTTAAAAATTTTCAATCTCTGAAAACTCTAAAAATATTCTTTAGGATAGGCTGCTGACCAAACCCAGGCTAAACTCTTTAAAAAATAGTTCTTACTCACAGTTTGTTGTTAACAACAATCCAGATTTCAAGCAACAAATGCTCATTAGGTTGAAGTATTCTTTCTTTCTTAAGGTGTTTGGGGGTTTGATGCAGAAGACAGTTCTTTCTTCCACTGCGACCTAAACTGCTCTATTGTGGAACCCATATAGGTTATACCTTGGAATGTGCAGTTATTCCTTATAAAACTTTCCTTTGTGCCTCTTCGTAGATCTCCTTTGGCATGAGCAATGCCCTACCGAAGTGGCTGTACCATAAACGAGCTAATGCTTTACATTCACAAAGGATGTGCTGATGACTCTGGTTCCTCCTGGTGGCATGTTTCTGTCTCTGTTCTGCCAATCTTCTTTAGATGATAATTAAGAGGGCAGTAGCTGGTAAAGGCTTATAATTTTTCTCAAATCCTGCCTGCTGAAAGAGAGGAGTTCGTTCGCCTTCTCCCATGGGTGAGAGGGGTGACATTTTTTGACTAGTTGGTCAGCCTTCATTTCCTTCTAGGCCTTCATGACCAGGACTGCACTTTAAGGTAATCTTGTTTTGCTTTCCCAGAGTCATTAAGCAGTTTAGGCACTCCAGACAAATCTGGAGTTGAAAGCATATGCATTTAGTCCCTTTATGACTGCCTGGCTGTTTGAGAGTATATACATCTATCTGTGCACCTTTCATATTTTCCTTTATAAACTTCTGTGGACAGTGTTGTAATACAGCTTAGAAAATCATTGGGGGTCAGTCCATGGGGGAAGTTTGGCTCTTTTACCCCTACACCTACTCCCTACTCCATCATCGATCTATCTGTGCAGTGTATATTAGGGCCCCTTCTTGAATCTTGGCCACCTTTTTTCCAAATGTTTCTGTTGTCTATGTCCACTTGGAAGGGTCAGTGAAAGATGAGCTTTTCTCTCATTTTGTCAAACACTGTGGTAGCCATCTCATTTATTTTAATTGTTTTTAGAGTTTTGTAGTGGTTTCTCTTAAGATCTGGTTTTATTTCCTTATATCTCAGAGGTCTATTGACAATCTCTAAAGCCACATTTTGTACATAACATGTAAGGGTGGGAGATTGAGTGCTGTTTTCAATGCTTTAGTGGGGCAGGGTAGGTATGTGTCTCCGTAGATTTTAGTTTTAGGGTTTTGGTTAGGGTTTTAGTTAGGGCTAACCACATTTTTTTATATATAAAATTGAAGGTTGTCTTTATGAATTCCTCTATCCCCCCCCCACAGCTACTCCTGGGTGACATCTAATTGCTCAACTGACAAGAGAATTTTGAGATATTTAAGAGGGACGATCCAGAGTATTACCTCTTTAAAAGCCTGTGTGTAGGTCTTCCTGACAGGGCATCTAGATCCATAGCCAGAGAATTCTCCCATCTTGGCTTACTTCTTCTATATTTTCTCAGGAGACTTTTCCACTTCACTACCCTCTTTGAAGGTTGGCTTTTGCAGGGCATATGCTGTTCTGAAAGCTTTACAGCTTCTTCCCTGCTGTGCGTTGTCTATGAAGCCACGTGTAGCACTTCCTCCTCGACCTTGAAAATCTTCAGAAGATTGTTTCTGCTGAAGCCTTTTTGATCTCTTGTAGGGTGCCTTTGTCGGTGGTAGGTTCAAAAAGTTCAATTTGAAATTAAAAAAGGTCAATTTAAAATTTAAAAAAATCAATTTGGATTTAAAAAGAGTCAATTTGGAGTTAAAAAGGTCGATTTGAGATTAAAAAGGGATAATTTAAAATTTCAAAAGTTCAATATGAATTTAAAAAGGGTCAATTTGAAATTAAAAAGTGTCAATTTGAAATTAAAAAGATCAATTTGAAGTTTAAAAAGTAAATTTGAATTTAAAAACGCCAATTTGAAGTTCAAAAGGTTAATTTGAACTTTAAAAAAGTAAATTTGACTTTAAAAAAAGAGTCTGTTTAAAAAGGTTATTTTAAATTAGCAAGTTCAATATGAAGCAAAAAAGGACGATTAAACGCTAAAAAAGTCAATTTGAAGTAAAAAGGTCAATATGAAGTAAAAACAGGGTCAATTAGAACTAAAAAGGAGGTCAATTTGAAATTAAAAATAGTCAATTTGAAGTAAAAAAAGGTCAAATTGGATCTTTTCTAACTTCAAATTGATTTTTTAAAATTCTAATTGACTTTTTTACTTAAAAATTAAGTAAAGAGTAAAAAAAGGTCAATTTGAAGTAAAAAAAGTTAATTTGAACTAAAAAATAGTCAAATTGAAGTTAAACAAAATTTAATTGGAATAGGTCAATTTGGAGTAAAAAAGTCAATTTGAAGTTTAAAAAAATTTAATTAAAAAGGGATAATTTGACGGAAAACACCTATAAAAAATAGGATCGTAGCAATAAGAAGTAACTGTTTTAGTTTTTTTAAATTGAGGAACTAATTGTTGTCCAATGTTGATGATTTTCCAGTCTGTGCCTATGATTGATTCTATATAGATTTTTAAACAATAAAGGCCCAAGTAGTGAGCCTTGAGGAACTCCGGAAGGAAACACGTTTTGGAGGCAAGGAAAATCAATTTGACCGCTTGACTTCTCCCAGTTAACAAACAGAATTACATTTCAATAAAGATCCACAAATTCCATTTAAAAAAATCGTTCAATTTTGATACCAAAGTGTTCAATACATATTACAAAAAGAAAATGACACTATCTACTTAATAATTGTTCTATTATCGTGAGGTGCGATATTGTGTGTTCTAGAACAGCGGGGTCATCAATGTTCCAGTAAAAAGAAAGTTTTGAAGAAGAGTGTACTCAGGAGAACAGTACTTTCTTTCTCCAGTCCTGGGACGATCAGTCTTCGTGCGAACGAAGAAGGAGTACGACGACCGACTCAACAATGATAGTCTTATACTTGGCGTACTTCACCTTGACTCTAGCCACCCTTGCAGCCGGCTCTACAAACGAAACACGTAATTTCATAACTAATTAAATTTTATTCCCTGGGAAGAAAGATATTTTAAATTGAAGATACCAGAAGAAGGATTTCAGATCTACTACGATGCCGATGGAAACCCCGTCCCTGAGCTGGATGGAACCGAGAATAAGTTAAAAACTGGAATTAAGAGATTCGGCTTCTTACCTTGTTCCTGCGAGGATGAGTTCAACTGCGGCTGTTGTGTCAATTTGAGATTCATTCGTTTCAAAAGAGCAAGTATGTGAAAACAATTTTTATTTTTTGGTCATTTAACCAGTTTTTTAGAGATTCGCAACTTTCAGGAAAGGATAGCTAACAATAATTATTATAAGTAGATATCGGATTTTTTTTTTAAGTCAGAGTAAATTCATCATTCTCATGTACATTTCATACTGTTCAATTAAATAGAGCGATGGGCCAACACGCTGTAGATATACAACTGACCCATGCACGGGACGACCATTACGAACAACCAAAGTCAGTACAAACGATTGAGAAACAAGCAACAAAAAGTACAACTCATTAAAATTCTGGGCATCGCTGCTCACTGATTTTATACGGAATCAAGGCATGACACCTTTTCATTATGTGGGACACATCCAGCGACCTTTATCTGTTTACGTAGCACGTACGATAGCCACCGGTTTGTCGGGACGATCCAATCCGGCATACTTTTCCAAATTCGCATTAAGGAACAACTTTCCACCCACCACATCGCCGTGTACACATTCGTCAAGAGGCTATCGAAAGTTTCATTGTGCATTCTGCACGATGAGATGGTCGTAAAACTATTGGGTTGTCCGGAAAATAATGCAGGATTTTGGTATTAAACAAAAAAAAAGAAACTAGTTACTTTAAAGCAATGTTCTTTAATCAAAATAATTTCCCATACTCTCAATACATTTCTCCCAACGTGTTGGTAACTTATTAATTCCGTCTGAGTAGAATTCAGAATTTTTAGAATTGATAAAGTCAATAAATGCATTTTCCAGTTCCGTTTGATTTTTGAATATTATGTGTTGTAAGTAGTGGTCCAGGTGTCTAAAAAAATGGTAGTCAGTAGGCGAGAGGTCCGGAGAGTAGGGTGGGTGAGGCAAAGTTTCATAGCCAAGCTCCAATAATTTTTGTGACGTTACACGTGACACATGTGGTCGAGCGTTGTCATGCAACAAAATGGGCCCTTTCCGATTGACCAAAGAGGGCTTCATTACTGCCAATTTCTGATGCATGGTATTAATTTGGTTACAGTATGATTCAGCATTGATGGTTTCGCCAGGATTTAAGAAGCTGTAGTGTATTAAACCAAATGAAGCCCACCATACCGTAACCATTACCTTTTTTTGATGAGTTGGGGGCTTTGGAGCTTCTCCTTTGTCGAGCCACTGTCCAGAACGTCTAGTGTTATCGTAGAGAATCCACTTTTCGTCACATGTAACAATTCTGGCCAGAAATGGGTCATTTTTGTTTCGACAAAGAAGTGATGCACAAACATCAAAGCGCTGATTTTTTTGGCGATCGTTTAATGAGTGTGGAACCCAATTTTCGAGTTTTTTCACTTTTCCAATCGCCTTGAGGTGGTCAGCGACGGTCGTTTTACTGACTTTGAGTTGCTCTGCAAGTTCTCGAACAGTTGTTTTGGGGTTTTCTTCCACCACTGATCGCAGAACATCATCATTAAGAGAGGAAGGCCTTCCACGACCTTCTTCATCTTCAAGGCTGAAATCTCCCTCCCGAAATTTTTTAAACCACCTTTGCACAGTGCACTCATTAACACAACCCTCGCCCCAGACTTGGTTAATGTTTCTAGCCGTTTGGGCTCCGCTTCGGCCGAGTTTAAACTCGTAAAAGAAAATCGTACGAAATTCTCGCTTTGACATTATAAGGATGACTGAATTATTTCCAAGTAGCGGAATGCTACAGAGGTAAACAAACAATATCATTTGGAAGAGGATTAATAAGTGTTGACATTCATACAAATGAGTAATCCTGTAAACGTAAACAGAATATTTTATATAGATTTTTTTTAATGAAAACTTAAAATCCTGCATTATTTTCCGGACAACCCAATAGTTACCTGTTCAATCAGCTTTGACAGAGATCGTATATGGACGACTGTCACCCCTTGAGTATACTCGCTCCCTGTATACTCCCACAGGCATATGGCAGAACAATATAGTAAACCAGCTTGTAAGGAAGGCAATGATAACTGCTCACTACGCCCCATTAATGGTGCACAGCAGGAAGTGGCCATTTACATAACCTCTCCCGTTCCTATGCGACTCTCTGCCATCCCGTTGTTGTTGTTAATTGTTTAGACCCCTTCGTGAAAAAAACGTATCAAATACTGACTTGGGCAGGTGGCGAGTTGATTCAGCACAAAATGTTAGTCTTGAGGGCACAAATGGCTGATGGCTTCTTCCCTGCAATCACATATATGGAGAAGAGTATATCTGAGGGTAATCAGGACATGGGATGTGAGGTGCAACCTGAATAGGTGAAACTTGTAGACTCAGGCATATTTTCCTCGGCTGCCTTAAACGCAGTCTTCCTGTCACTTATATCCAGCCAGAAGAACTTCAGAGACGTTGGGTAGTATAAGTTATTCTATCGTGCTTGTGGACTGCCAACGCAACGCACGAGAGTACTTTCCTGGTTCAAGCAATGTAGCCTTGCTCATCAGGCATTTTCCCCATAGCCCCCCGTGCTGTCCGATAACCAGTTGATTATTTGAGACTCACCGATGAAACGTACCGTGATTTGACTTGAACTAGAGATTACGCAGTTGGAACATACTTACCAGTATGCTGGAGGTCATGTACTCAAAAGACAGTGTACAGTGGAGTGCCTCAAGGGAGCATACAATGCCCACTGTTTTTTTTCTGTTGTTCTGTTCTTTGTTAATGACCTACCCTCGATTGGTTCATAACTAATCACCCTGATGACACCAACTTCATGGTTCGAGCTCATTTTCTCTACGCTGATTTATGTCGAGCTGTTAAAATATTTAGCCAGTGGTTTGCTATTAACAATCTCGACTTGAAAATATGTGTAAAGGAAAAGAACTCGTTGCGTTGAAATTTTCTTTGAAATTCGAAGTACTTTAAGACAGATGATAACAAATTTGATAAATAAAGACTCAATTTTCATATTAGAATAATTCAAAGGCTCTTTCACGTTGAAAACATTTTGGTATTTGGATAGAAGTGGGTTTGGGGACAGGTCGATTGTCAAATGACAACTTTTATTGTTTTTCAGTGTGCTCCAATTTAACATTCGATCCTATGGAATTTTCGATACTAATGAAAATGGATTTTGATGGAGCGGTCATTCTCAACAGGACGTTATCAGGTTAGTTGTTTTAACTATTTGTGAGTATTTAATTATTGGAAGTTTCATTTTTCAGCCAAGAATCCTCCTCCGGCCTGTTTCGATCAGCCCTACATCCCGGGTGTAAGATTCTGTGTAAATCTATTTGACATTTACACGCCGGGAAGGAATTTGCACATGTGCATAAATTTTGAAGCGCGGTTCATCAACTCTCCAATTCTCGTGTTGGAATTCGACTGCATTCAAATGGGAAACGACGGCTTTATTCACGCCAAACCGTTTGAATTTCCGCAAAGAAATACAACAATTGACAAAATCGAAAACTTGTACAATGAAGAGGAAAATGTCGTCGACCTAACACAATTTCAAAACAGCACGAATAATGGCTCGAATTCATCGACGGATGCAAATCAAGTCGTCAATTGACCATCTACTAGATGTGGGATGAATGTAAAATAAATGACAACAATAATAAATATAAATAATAATTGTATTTATATAGTCGAATCCAATTCAATCTCGTCAATAATTGAAGTACTCAAAATTAATACGCTTACAATACATGTTATTGTACAATGTTATTTTCCCGTCTGCCTTGCGATTCTTGTATATAAAAAATTGTTTAAAATATTAATTATTAGTAAATTATTACCGTTCGAACTAAAATTCACTTCAACTTCAAAATAAATTGATGGCATAATTCCAGAAACTAACCGTCGTGAGAAAATAGTAAAATTGTTCCAATTTTAAGTCTCTATAGATTTTAACACAGTGTATATTTTAAGTGGTTTAGTCTTCATTATCTATCTGATCATAATGACTAACATATTCAATATGAAAGATTCTGTATATAAATAATAACAACAGAAATAATAACAATAACTAGTACAGGGCGTGAAATGACCTTAGCCGTTAAAACGCCCTTAAAAATTAATAATAATAATAATAATAATAATAATAATAACTAGTACAATATGTTCGATCACTTCACACACGATCCACCGGCATGATTCAATTTAAAACACTTTCTAGTTTCATTTTTACGATTATTACTGATATTTTATGTATTTTCGACATTTCAGGGCATATCAAAGTTTTTTAGTATTTTTGTTTAAACTTGGCTCAATAAATAGTTTATACCAACAGAAATTGATAACAGATGGAATAAATATAGAAATGTGAAGATATAAAAACAGCCAAAAATTGAAGGTCTACTCCTTTCTGCTGTTTTCCATTATTATTTATATTCTGTACACTTTCTATGGTATTTTTGTTTATGCTTGGCTCAATAAATAGTTTATACCAAAAGAAATTGATAACCAAAGGAATAAATATAGAAATTTGAAGATACCAATACAGCCAAAAATTGAAGGTCTACTCCTTTCTGCTGTTTTCCATTATTATTTATATTTTGTACACTTGCTATGGTATTTTTGTTTATGCTTGGCTCAATAAATAGTATATACCAACAGAAATTGATAACCAAAGGAATAAATATAGAAATTTGAAGATACCAATACAGCCAAAAATTGAAGGTCTACTCGTTTCTGCTGTTTTCCATTATTATTTATATTTTGTACACTTGCTATGGTATTTTTGTTTATGCTTGGCTCAATAAATAGTATATACCAACAGAAATTGATAACCAAAGGAATAAATATAGAAATTTGAAGATACCAATACAGCCAAAAATTGAAGGTCTACTCGTTTCTGCTGTTTTCCATTATTATTTATATTTTGTACACTTGCTATGGTATTTTTGTTTATGCTTGGCTCAATAAATAGTATATACCAACAGAAATTGATAACCAAAGGAATAAATATAGAAATTTGAAGATACCAATACAGCCAAAAATTGAAGGTCTACTCGTTTCTGCTGTTTTCCATTATTATTTATATTTTGTACACTTGCTATGGTATTTTTGTTTATGCTTGGCTCAATAAATAGTATATACCAACAGAAATTGATAACCAAAGGAATAAATATAGAAATTTGAAGATACCAATACAGCCAAAAATTGAAGGTCTACTTGTTTCTGCTGTTTTCCATTATTATTTTTTTTTATGTACTTGCAAAGGAATTTTTGTTAAAGCTAGGCTCAATGAACAGTTTTTACCAAACAAAATTGATAAAAATAGAATAAATATAGAAATTTAAAGATGTCAAAACAGCCAGAAATTGAAGGTCTACTCCTTTCTGCTGTTTTACATTATTATTTATATTTTGTACATTTGCTATGGTATTTTTGTTTATGCTTGGCTCAATAAATAGTTTATACCAACAGAAATTGATAACAGATGGAATAAATATAGAAATGTGAAGATATAAAAACAGCCGAAAATTGTAGGTCTACTCGTTTCTGCTGTTTTACATTATTATTTATATTTTGTACACTTGCTATGGTATTTTTGTTTATGCTTGGTTCAATAAATAGTTTATACCAAAAGAAATTGATAACCAAAGGAATAAATATAGAAATTTACAGATATCAAAACAGCCAAAAATTGAAGGTCTACTCTTTTCTGCTGTTTTCCATAATTATTTATATTTTATGTACTTGCAAAGGAATTTTTGTTAAAGCTAGGCCCAATGAGCAGTTTATACCAAAAGAAATTGATAACAAATAGAATAAATATAGAAATTTGAAGATGTCAAAACAGCCAGAAATTTAAGATCTACTCTTTTCTGCTGTTTTCCGTTATTATTCATACTTTATGCATTTTCAATGATATTTTTGTTTAGAAAAAGTCAGTAAAGAGTTGTAAAAATTGTAAATAATAATTTTTTTTATTATTAATACATTTGTCACGTTTAGATTTAAATGTACTGCCATACCCCTCCAAACTCATCTAACAGTGAAAGGAGTAGGGGCTAGAAAAGGGCTGTTTTTCCATTCCCTAGGACTATTCCCTTTCCGTACTCCTTGGGTTAAAGAGCTGTTTTTCTTTTGTAATAAATAAAAATAATTGTTGTGCACACAATTCAAGTGGGTAAATTTTATATTTTGACGTCAAAACTAAAAATAATAATACTTTAATTTAAAAGTGGTTGTAACTAAAAAATAAATTTTTATAAAGAAAAGTAAAAGAAATAACATTTGATTTGGAAAGTTGTGTTAAAATTTTAATTGTATTTTCGAATTGGTCGTTAAAAAAAAAATTTCCTTTTACTTTTCTTTATAAAACGAGAATTAAATTCGATTTTAAAATTGATGTAGTGTAGATTTCGAAATAGGTTTTATTATAAAATAAAAAGATTCTTTAAATTAAAAATAATAATAAAAGTAATTGTAATTTTATTTTCAATAAATTGTAATAAAAGATTTTAAATTTTCCTAATATTTTTGTCTTGTGTCTATTTTGGTTTGTATTGAATATCGGAAATTCATTTATCAACAAAATGTTTGTTCTATCTATCGATAGATTAAATTAACGTTGTCCGGTACGATCATGAAAAACCTTTGGGACAATGTTTTCGGATTCAGGGTTGGGCTCAAAAGAAAAGAGACACGCTATACATTTATTTATTAAAATTGATCAAATGAGACCATCTATTTTTCAATGACTAATGTAGAAATAATAAAATATTCATGGGAATCTTTCTTTTGGAGCCGTTGTATTATGATTGTATTTTTTCTTTTGGCACACCCAAAATTACCATAAATCCATATATCTTTTAATATTTGACTATAAATCATTATTTGATTTCATATTGATAGCCGGGAGTTCCACCCCAGCCACCAATAAAGTTAGCCGTATTCGAAATCAAGTTTTTTCCTTTTCTTTTTACTGTGCGCTTTCCAATTTAATTTTTACCTTATTGACTAATAATGGTAAAACAAATGGAGCCTATAGTTTTTCCAACAACACTTTCTCGTTTCTTCTCGCGATGGTTTGGCGTGAAACTCCGGGCTGGAATTCTATTGAAATTCGAATGCGCCCGTGACTTTCAATCTACGACTTCTTCTATGCTGGAGGGGGCTTCCAGCTCGGAAAGGAAGGCTGCCGTCAGTCTGAGGCGTTCCAGTGACTGGTTCAGACTCAGTCCTGGAAAATTCTGGTGGTCAGTGGAACAGAACCGAAGACATTAGGAAGAAAGGATAATTTAATCAATTGTAAGTGAACTGGGAAATTTAATTTTTTTTCCTTAGGCGGCATCGGCGAATGGCAAATTCGTTAAATTTCGTTATGTACGTACTCATCGTCTGTGTTTGTGTAGTAAAAAGATTGGCCCAATTTTGCAGAGAGTTGCAGAACATCACGGATGATACGTCGATAAATGTCCTTTTTTTAATTAAAGGCTTAAATAAATAATAATAATTTATTAGATTTTAAAATGGACTATCTTTCTCCAATAGATTGGCAGTGTAGTCTTCTCCGTTTTTTTGTCTGTTGTGTTTTTACCTTTAGGCCTGGTTTGTATTCATCCGGTCGATAGTAATCTCTAGAAAGTTGATACTGCAGTCGCATTCTTTTGAAAAGGTGAAAGTTATATTTTTGTAAAGGACGCTTTATTACTTTGATTTCTGTTCAAGTTTCCCAATGCCGTCCACAAATAGCGAAATCATGGCCACAACTTGAAGAATTCTTTGTATAAAATAAATAAGTGCGACAGAATTTTTTTAAAAACTTAAAGTAAATGTACAATATCAAGAAATAAAACTTGAATTTGAAAACTTTCAACTTGCTGGTTTTTAACTTATGAATTTTATCTTGTTTGCTAAGGTCCCGACTTTCCTGAAGTTTACTGGAAACGACCGTCTTTAAATTTAATTACGATCCTTAAAATTAGGTTTATAGTGACCCCTTCAGCGAAATCGCGTCCTGCTTTCTTTCGATACGCATTGACCCCGAATCCCTCTACGATCCGTGGTTTCAAACGGCAAGAAGAAGAAGAAGGGGTCAAAATTGACATTGGGTCTATTAACATGATCGACTAGGGTCTCGAAAGTTTTTCCAGCGTATTGAGAGAAAAAAAGGAGAGATAGAGAAAGATGGAGAATTACATAGAAGTAAAATATTAGGAAAAAGGAATGTACGTAGATAAACAAAAGAGTGAGAGTGAGAGAGAGAATTGAATTGAAACATTTTGTTTATAATACTAGCAGATTTAGGTCATAATGACCATTTTTGCAATGAACGAGTTCTTTTTTACAAAAATAAACAAAATGATTATGGTGTTATTATTTTTGATGAAAATGATTATTATTTTTGCTTTAATCACTTGTACTAAATTTAACATGTAGTGTGTAATATACAATGCAAGATTTCAACTTAAAATAGCTACAATAAAAAAAGGAGAGAGAGAGAGAGAGAGAGAGAGAGAGAGAGAGAGAGAGAGAGAAAATGAAATAAAACAATTATTAAGATAAAAACTATAGAGAAAATAACACAGGTAGATAAACAAAGAAAGAAAAAATTAAGTGAAAAAGGATTGAGTGGTATTGAGAGAAAAAAATAAAGAGAGAGAGAATTAGATAGAAGTAAAATATTAAGAAAAAACAACAGAAAAAAGGAATGTAGGTATATAAACTAAGGAAAAAAATTGATGGAAAAAGAATGAGTGGCGCTGAGAGAAAGAGAGAGAGAGAATTACATAGAAATAAAATATTAAGAAAAAAATATAAAAAATGAATGTAGGTGGATAAACAAAAAAAGGAAGAGTGAGAGAAAGAGGAAGAGAAAGAGAGAGGGTGAGAGAAAAAAGAGAATTAGATAGAAATAAAATTTTAAGAAAAAACTGTAGAAAAAAATGAATGTAGGTAGATAAACAAAGAAAGAAAAAATTAAGTGAAAAAGGATTGAGTGGTATTGGGAGAAAAAGAAAGAAAGATAGAAAGAGAGGGAATAATAAGAAAAAACTATAGATAAGGAAAATTAGAAAAACGAAGAAAGAAAAAAGAAAGAAAGAACGGGTTATAATAGAATGCGAATAATAAGAAGAAAAAACGATAGATTAGGGAAAAAGAAATATAAACATAAAATGAAAAAGAGAGAAAGTGGAAAAGGGCGATTGAGAGAGATGTCTACATATTTGTACGGTCAAAGGACTTGCGAAAGGACGAGTTCGTCCTTGCTCAAAGAGAAAGTTCCTCTTTTTCTGATCTCATGTCCTTCCACACGAGGAAAGAATGCAACACCAAAGAGAAAATAAAGGCCACCTCGATGGGTCATGGACCGAGGATCCTTTTATAAAAATCACCCGTTATCATCAAAAGTGAAAGAGTCAACCTTTGTTTGTACGGAGCCGGGAAAATTCCACACTTTTATGTCTTTTTTGATTAACGCTAAAAATAAAATAAATACATTTTCCACCATCAATACCCATAGTGGAAATCTAATCCTAATCTTCTCAAAGCTTTCTAGACAGAATCACACAGGGCAGGGTAATCAATATTGTGAGAAAAAATGCAACTTAAATTCAGTTTTGTCGCCCTGGGTCCGTGCGATCTCGCTTTGCCTTGACCCGTAAGAGGATAATATGTTTAAAACGATTCGTCATCGTTTAGCAGAGTGGCGCAGTGGAAGCGTGCTGGGCCCATAACCCAGAGGTCCGTGGATCGAAACCACGCTCTGCTATTCAATTTTTTTTTTACTTTTAAAAACTGGCGAATTGATTAAATTTTGCTTTTCCGGAAGCAAACTATAAATAAATCCCTCTCGTGGCACTAACTTTTTCATTTCAACCAGAAACCTTACACAAAAAGATTAATTAATTGAAAGAAGTAATTTGGTCAATAGACATAAATATAATGAAACTATAAATAAAGTTTAGTAGATTCAGTTACAACGTGAAATTCGTTAGCTTTAGCTTTTAAAATTTCAAAATTTGTTTACTTATTTGTTAATTACTGGGAAATTAAGCTCTGGTTTTATCTTTATGTTGTCTTCGCTTGTAAACAAGTATCATTATTCTCGCTGTTTTACGTGTTTATCTTTCGAATGTTTTGAGATTCGTTTATCAAATCAGAGAACTTTTTTTAAGGTCACCATTGTTGATCATAAAAGCAAAGTTTTATTCCCATCAATCTACATAATTTTCTTATTTTGCGTGCATAAATTGACAAATGTCCTGTCTATTTTCATAATAATAAGAATTTTATGGCTGAAGACGAAATTCTGAAATTTTAGATTAGGAATTGTTAGGGTTAGGGTTAGGTTTCTTGCATAAAATGACAACAATCCGCTCTATTTTGGTAATAATAAGAATATTTTGGTTGAAAGGGAAATTCTGAAACCTAAAGTTAGGAATGGTTAGATTCAGTAGAGTTAGGGTTAGGTTTTTGCTTAAATGGACACCAATCCACTCTATTTTGATAATAAAATGCATTTTGTGGCTGAAGATGAAATCCTGAACCTTAGGGTAAGGAATATTTAGGTTAGGTAGAGTTAGAGCTCGGTTTCTTGCTTAAATTGACAACAATCCACTCTGTTTAGATAATAATAAGAATTTAGTGACAGAAGATGAACTTCTCAAATCTTCGATATGTAAGGTTAGGGTTAGGTTTCTTGCTTAAATTGATAACAATCCACTCTATTTTGATGATATGATGAATTTTCCGGCTGAAGATGAAATCCTGAAACCTTAGGTAAGGAATATTTAGGTTACGTAGAGTTAGAGCTAGGTTACTTGCTTAAATTGACAACAATCCACTCTGTTTAGATAATAATAAGAATTTAGTGACAGAAGATGAACTTCTCAAATCTTCGATATGTAAGGTAAGGGTTAGGTTTATCCTTGTTTAGGTTTAAGATAAAAAAACAAAAAGATTAATCAAAAAAATTTTATTTATTGCAAAACTGAAAAATAGTCCGTAATATTGGTTTGTTTATTTTTTTATGAATGTAAAAAGCATTTTCTGTAATGGTGATAAGTTCTTTCACTGTCATTTTCATAGATTCCTCTGCAAAATTGTCATAACATGTTAAAAATTTATTTACCACATTTATAGCTGAGAACGTTTCCTTCAAAGTGGGGCACGAAAATTCGCTTGAATCATCTGTTATAGCATTGACTTCTAAATCATTTTCTGCTTTGATCCCTGCAACAATTTCTTCATCTGTGATGATTCCATGGGTAGTAAGACTCAAGTCTATGTCTTCATATCCTTGAAGCAAACAGTTTTCAATGGGCAAATCTTGAGCCCAGTTTCGAAGTGTTTCATCCTGAAAGTCTTGGATTTGAAGAATATCAACAGCATTGTCAACCAAATCACTGAGGAAGCCAGCATGCCGGAAGCAGTTTCTAATCGTTGAAGGCTTAACCTGATTCCAAGCCTTTTCGAGCATAATTATAGCATCCAGGACTGAAATCTTTGCTTCCTTCTTCTTTTCAATGTCATCAATGATCCGTAGGATAAGTTGTTTTCTGAAGACGACTTTCAAGGATTTTATGACACCTTGATCCATAGGCTGTAAAGCCGACGTTGTGTTGGGAGGAAGAAAAGCTAATTTAATGGCTTGAAGACCTTTTACTGATGGGTGGGCAGGACAATTGTCAACAAGAAGGAGAATTTTCTTCCTTTGACGATGAAGTTTTTTATCCCACTTTCGCAACCAATTTTCGAATAGTTCTCCGGTCATACAGGCTTTTGAATTGGCACAGTATTCGACAGTTTGTGTATTTACCGATCACTAACAATTTGGGTTTTTCAGTTCTGGTTAGATTTGCCGCAACCAAAACTGTTATTCTTTCTTTTGAAAGCTTACCACCACTGCAGTTTTCATTTTTAAAACGTAACGTCTTATCTGGGGTCATACTGTAAAATAGGCCAGTTTCATCGGCGTTGAAGATCTCCTCGTCTCTGTAGCCTTCCCTCAATGTAGGCCAAACAGTTTCAAGCGAGTTTTCTGAAACTCCAGATGGCACGGCTGATTTTTCCAAAAACAATGGAAAGTCTTTGCCGAAATCTCTGGATCCAAATTATGGAATAACCAAACGCCCCTCAGACCAACACGTCAGCAAAGTCTGGCGGGTCCAGACGGCCGTCCATCATCTTAATCAGCATTTCTTTAAACTAATATAAAAACCCTAATCCCCCTTACTCTTACGATAGCCTTCTGCCCTTCACTGTCGGTTTAAAATTAAACATTGTACAGTTTTGACAATAAAGTTTCTTCTTTTTTTAAAAAGTCTTCTTCGAGCGATTACTTAACTTCCACGAGGTTGAACGTACAAAATCATTTTTATTAAAAAGTTTTGCAAAATCATTTGCTTTTGCTTGTAAAATAGGTCCATTCAACCGAATGTTTGCACTCCTTTGAACCTTGAACCACTGCAACAGTGCTTCTTCGACATCACCATGAGAACTTTTTCGAATTTTTTTTCCTCCTTTTTGAATTCTTCTTTTGATTTTTGACGGTTCGTGAAAATGTTTGAAATGGTTGCATGACTCACCTTTAGTTCATTCGCCAAAGCTCCATTTTCCAAACGAGAAATTATATGGATTTTTTCCTCCACCGTAAAAGTTTTTCGTTTTTTTTTCGTTCATTGCACCGTCCTGTTTGAACACATTACACCGTCCTGTTTGAGCAACTGCAGAGAACTGAGAAAAAACGTTTAGCCAGAAGATAATGTAAAACACGACACAATCATTCCATGAAAATAGTTGATTACATTTCGTACAATATTTTGTGTGAACTCCTCTTTCGAGGGGTGTATTTTCTCATGAAGTTCTTACAAAAGGTTTGTTTTGTCAGAAATACATTAACTTTAGGTCATTAAAAACGATGTTCTTATAACCAGATATTTTATTCATTAAGTTGCATTAAAGCTGGCCGGGAACTAGAAATTTCGTTCTTATAATCGATATATTTTTTCAACCGGTGTTCATTTAAACGATTTTTACTGTATTTATATGTCTTCCTCACAATCCCATTCACCCATTCTTTTTCTTTATTTGTTGTATGTATGTAACTATTTTCTATTCTCTATAGTGTTTTTCTGATCACCTTCTTTCTATCTCACCTCTCTCCCACCCCCTCTCTACTATAGATATTCTAAATTCTTCTTATTAAATTCACTATTTTTCGTGGTACGCTTGACCGATTAATAACATTCAATTAATTAAGGTTTTTAAGTTGAGATAAAAAGTCGGTGTCACGAGCGGGATTCGAACCCACGACCTTCGGCTTGATACGCCGCTACTGTACCACTTGAGCAATCGTGACTGATCCCCTCGGGCACAAACTTCCCATCTCAACCCCACCTTTTGAAGTATCAAACCGAAGGTCGTGGGTTCGAATCCCGCTCGTGACACTGACTTTTTATCTCAACTTAAAAACCTTAATTAATTTAATTCTTCTTATTCTTAAATCTTTATATTTCCTTTTTTTCAGGCTTGTGATGCTTCTTATGCGGCTTAGGTTACGACAGTTCTCAACGCAATGTGTCAAATACTCGTTTCAACAGAATGTTGCCGTCGAGGAAGTCAATTTAGGAAAACCTTATTCACAAGTACCAGGCCCCAAGCCACTACCAGTTTTTGGAAATACATGGAGATTTCTGCCATTCATAGGTGACTACAATAATACTTTGAATAAACTCTGAAACCCACTTTGGAAACACTTTTGAAATAGTTTTCTAATAGACAATTTAAATCGGTTGCGATAAAATAGAAATTAAAATAAACTGGAAACAAACCTGCTTTTGTATTTTAAAAATATAACGTTTTATATATAAAATTCAAGCTTATAATTTAAAGTAGCCATGTTAACTAAATGTCTAGTTCGATCGTCTACAGTCATCCTGGTCTGCTTATTCTTAGTCTGTCAGTGTTCCAAAAGTTTGCCATATTCAGTGAGTTTGTAATACAAATGACAAAATGACAACACAGACCAAGAGGCAATGTGGCAAAAAAAAAAAAAAAAAAAAAAAAAAAAAAAAAACATTAGGCTGATCTGGATGATCTGAAATGATCAAGCTGCAATGCCACTGCCTCACAAGTTTACATGTTTAATAAATTTTTAAAATAATAGTAATAATAATAAGTATGTTGACACTAATTTGAGATGTTCACGAATCAGATAAAAGACAACAAATAAACAAGTTAGCGTTAAAGTTTAATTTTCTAAGGACTTTTGCAAGCTTTTATGAGTTTTATGAATTGACTTATTAAATATTTAGGAGAGTACAAAATTGGTGATGTTGCTGACATATCCCAGTCTCTGTACAATGAATATGGCCAAATAGTCAAATTATCCGGCCTAATCGGCCGGCCCGATCTCTTATTTGTCTTCGACTGTGACGAAGCTGAGAAAATCTTCAGAAATGAAGGTGACACACCTCACAGGCCGGCAATGCCATGCCTAGTCCAGTACAAGACGAAGGAAAGGAAAGAGTTTTTCGGAGATCTCCCCGGAGTTATTGGCGTGTAGGTACACACATTTTTTCTCTCTAACATCACCTCATCGTTATAATCAAGTATTTTTATGTTATATTTCAGTCATGGAGAACCTTGGAGAGAATTTAGGACGAGGGTGCAAAAGCCGATTTTACAGCCTTCAGTCGTGAAAAAGTATATACCAATCATTGAAAGCGTTACGAATCATTTCATTACAAGGTAATTTTTGTTTCTGTCTTAGCTTTGACAGTCTTCTTATAATTTTTCTCAAATCTCAAAGACTGCTGCCTCCTTTTTTAAAAGGTGAATCTCTTGTCCTGATTTTATCCAGTTGAGTTTTTCTTTTGTAAGCCATTTTTCCAGCTCTGGTGCGCCTTCTTTGGCTAGTTTGTAAGACTGTTTCCTTTTAAACTTTCATGTCCCAGAACCAATTTTAAAATAACCTTGCTGTTGTCCTAGATCACCCAAGATAGTTTTGGAGCTAAAAGCATATACATATAGTGTTTTATATCTGCCTGACCAGCCACCCTTAATTTTCTTCTTTAGTAACTCATCACAGAATGGACCTCAGCTTGGAATACGGGGTTTTGCTAGGGAATAATTTATCCCCTTTTTAATTCTTTGATCCATCAAACCATATTAGCACCTCTTACTGAAATTTGGGGTTGCCTTTCTTCCGAAGATCTCTGTTGTGGGACTTGGAGGGGTCTGTCAAAGCTAAGTAGTTGTCATTTTTCCAGGTAGAAAGACAATTCGTTTTAATTTTCCCTAGAATTTTGTGATGGCTTTTTCACAGATATGGGTTTATTTCTTTATATCTCAGGAATCTTTTGGCTCTCCTGATAACCAATCTTTGTACAGGCGTCTATGGGAACAAGTTCGGTGCCCAACATTGCTCCATATGTGACCAACATTGTGGTTAATAACGGCCAGTGCAGCTGTGCCTGCTGCAACCAAGGCCAAGAAAGCTCTGGCAAAGGCACCTGCCAAGGGAGCAGCAAAGCCATGACTCTGGAAAAGCCTGCAACTAAAACAGTTGTATAAAAGACGAAAAGAGATGTCACATCTAAGTCTCAAAGAGAAAGGAAAGTTGTAAAAAGACACCCATTCAGAAGGCCCATAATGTCAAACTAAAAGTATGAGGAAGCCATGGGGAAAATTAGAACATCTTTTCACTTCAGCAGACACTCGGCAGGTCGCCGAGGAAGCTTAAATACCCCTGTAAGTCTGTTCCAAGTAAGAAACGCATGGATGAAACGCCTAGCATTATCAAATCCTGGTTGGCGATTGAGACTGCCTTGAAAAAAATAGAGGACACTAGTCTTCCCTGTCCACTTCAGGGCTATTAGGCATCATATTCCCTGTCAAGAAACACTACGATATCGATGTAGCAAAACTCAACCCTTGTTAGGTCGGAAAGAAAAGAGCCTATGTGATATTAGCAAGAGACTTCAATGTGTTGTATGTTTCAAATAAAATTGGGATCATATAAATATCTCGTTTTTGTACATCACTTACCTATAATTTTATATATTCTCAATGTAACAATATGGCTAGTATGCAATCCTGAGATTTAGTCACTCATTCATAGTAGTGGTTTGACTTTATGCAGTATTGTCGGTAGACATATTTTAATTATAACGTCATAGGTCTACAATTGTCCGCAATAGTTGAATTCTAATCTAATTTACATGGTTGAACATCTATATGATATGATGTCATGATGACATAATGTGTAATATGGACAAATAAAAGGAAATTCATAAAAATTATGTGTTAAGATACAAAGTTGTAGTGGCTCAGGAGGTTAGAGTGTTAGAGGTACTGTTCAGAAGACAATTTGTTCAAAATCCATCCATAACTTTTTTCTTTCAAATCTAGCATTCAAAAATTAGTAATTTTAGAGTGAACTGAAACCGATAGATAAACATTAATTGTTTATGTAGTTTTATATGGCTTCTCCTCATCATCCAGGTCAAGGGTTATACCTAGATACTTTTTTCGTTTTCTTTTCTTTTTTTGTTGAGAAAATCTTAATCTTTTAGAGTGGGTGATTTATGTAGCCTTCTTGTGAAGGGTATGAAAATATCTGTCAACAGAGTTTACAATCTTAACACAATTAATTTTTTTTTAGGATGATACAAATGAGAGATGAGAATCTTGAAATGCCGGCAGATTTTGACAATGAAATTCACAAGTGGTCATTAGAATGTAAGCAATAAACCTGTTTAATTTTTGATTATTTATTTTTATATGTGGTAGTTTCTTTATCGTTGGGGGAAAATTTTCAAATTTATAAACTGAATTGAAATGTATTGAAACAGTTCTTAATGTCTTAAGGTATTGGTCATGTGGCGCTGGACGTTCGGTTGGGATGTTTAGATCCAAATTTACCACAGAACTCGGAGCCTCAGAAAATAATCGACTGTGCTAAATTTGCTTTGAGAAATGTAGCCATACTCGAGTTGAAATTCCCGTACTGGAGATATTTTCCGAGCACTTTATGGAATCGGTATATAAGTAACATGGATTACTTCCGAGAGTGAGTATCCAATCATAACAATAATAATTGCTTTGTTGGTTGTTTATCTTTTTTTCTTTCCTCTCGGTTTTTTTTTTTTTTTTTATTAAGCTAAGGTAGCTTGAGCTAGCTTTTTTAAGGAAATTTTAATCTTTTGGTTCAACTATGCTAAAACAGATGAGTAATCTATTTTGTTTTATTTTCCAGAGTATGCATGAAATACATTAACAAATCATTATCAAACCTTAAATCTAAAAGTGCAGACAGTCATGATCTTTCGTTACTTGAACGAATTTTAGTCAATGAAAAGAATCCGAAAATTGCTTGCATTCTAGCCCTTGATTTAATTCTCGTCGGCATCGATACTGTAAGCTCTGATCTGCATTTTTATTCAAAAGTGTGTTGAAATATTAAATAAATTATTTCCCCTTAGATTTCGATGGCGGTTTGCTCGATGCTCTATCAGTTGGCGACTAGGCCGGAAGTTCAGGAAAAGATGCATGAAGAATTAGTAAGAGTACTTCCAGATCCAAAAATTAAAATAACATCTCAGCATTTAGACCAGATGTATTATCTTAAAGGATTCATCAGAGAAGTATTGAGGTAGCAAAGCAAAAAAATAAGATCTAGTGAAAAAAATTGTTCTTTTAACCAGATTTTAGATAATCAGTATTAAAAGAAAACAATATTACATAGGACAGTTTTTATAAGGTTATTTATTGTATTATTTCAGAATGTACTCAACAGTCATAGGGAATGGTAGAGTACTCCTAAGTGACACTAAAATTTGCGGTTTCAACATACCAAAAGGGGTAAAGTAAAATCAGTGTTTAAGCATGAACTATTGAGAAAAGTTATTGCTGTTTTTTTTAGGTCCAGTTGGTGTTCCCCAATATTGTTATGGGCCGGATGAAAGAATACGTTGGAGACGCTAAGGTATTCAAACCAGAGAGATGGATAAAGAGTGAGCGTTCGGATCCGAGCAACTATGTACACCCATTCGCTTCCTTACCGTATGGTTATGGCGCCCGTATGTGTTTGGGCAGACGGTTCGCCGATTTGGAAATGCAACTTTTACTGGTTAAAGTAAATTATAAGTATACAATTAACGTACATTTATGCATAATCACATAATAAATAACACATAATCACATTTATGCATAACACATAATTATAAACAGTGCCTCTTGGCCAAAATGTGCAATGTTCATGCAAGCACAAATTAGTAGGTGTAAAATTTCGTGAAATGTAAAACTTTCAATTTGGGGACTGAATTGGCACTTTAGGCAACTTGAATATTGTCAGGAAGGGTTTTGGATTATAGGTGTGGCACTAAGGTGTTAGGATAAGGCTCCAGTGTTTTGTGGAGGTGTATCGACTTCTTTCAGTTTGAAGGTCTGCTTGCAAAGTAGGTAACTTGGATAATGGTTTGAAGGATTTTGTACTGGTGTGAATTCTTTGGAGGTTGTAACACTTGAACCATTCAATGTTTTTAAGCTGAATTTATTGGCTCTAAGTAAGCCTTTTGCTGATATTAAGTCTCAAATAGAAGACAATAGTTGCGGGGATACGAACAGAGTTTGAAGTGTATCGACTTCTTGAGGTTTCATGTTCTGAGTGTAAAGTAAGATGCTTGGACAATGGATCAAAGGATTTTGGATTGGAATGGATTTTTTGGAGGTTATAACACTTGGTATGGCCATTCAATTCTTTTGAGCCGAATTTGTGTGTTCCAAGTTATGTGATAACACCAATTGTCATGTCAGGTCACACCCACTTTCACATAAGGTTCCAATTCGTATTTGAAAGTACCCTTGAATTTCCAGAGCAAGCCTAGGTGCCACACTCGATCAATGGCTTACCTTACGGTTACAAAAATACTCGAGCAACGTTCATACAAGACTTCTATGTCTACCACTCTATGGCACTATTGAATGTTTTAATTTTGAAGTATTCACATTTTTTTTAAATATGTTTTTCTCTTATGTTTTTTAGCTTGTACGTTCATACAAACTTGAATACCTACATGAACCATTGGACTATAAAGTGACTTTTATGTACGCACCAGAGGGAGAATTGAAATTTAAATTAACAGAACGAACATAAAACTTCATGTGTATCTCAAAAATTGATGTAATTGCAGAAAATATAAATAAATCAAATATAAATTATTGGTGTTTTTTTTCTAATTATGCTCTTATGTAAATGTCGTGTTAGTGTAATTATGAATCACTGTTTAAAAAAAATTGTAAACTTTAGCTAAGAACGAAAACCAACAAGACAATATCTTAATTTTATGTGTTTGAAATTAGTAATTTAGTTTTAAAAAAAAATGTCTGTAGAATAAAAGAAAGATATTAATGTCAGGGGGATTTCTAATACTAACTCAATTTTCTAGTTGAAAACTGGATATTGGAATTAGACTGAAATGCATTCATTATAATAAAGAGAAAAACTACAAGAGTACTAAGAGTTCTTTAATTTGTTCTTGTATGAATAGGAACTACTAAAAAAAAGAAACCAAGAATTATTTATTTATTTTCAATAAAGGTTTGCAACAGCAGTGTTTGTATCAGCCCAGGGGATTTAAAGTATCAATGTTCTAACATCAACTTCCCTCTCATTATTATTTTGTTAAAAATCTTCTAGCCATCCTTGGTACATACCACAAGTAAGTAGGTATTCATTGAGCACTCTCTTCCAGTCAAACTGTAATCTTGGGCTTCAAGTTTATACTCGTATAACAAAAAATTGCACAAACTTTTACATTTATCACTTTATTTCTTTTCCTTTGTACACTATCATAATTACAAAAGATACAAATAGTAAAGAGTAATTCATTATTCTTAGTGTTATATTAATAATACTAGGGTTTATCAACACTGAAATGTTGATCACACAAAGCATGAAAAAAGCAAAATGGAAAACAGTATAACAAACAAACTGTTGAATTAATACAATTACGTAAAATCTACTACATTAGTTGTTTGTTCATACTACTTTACAATTGTAATTTATCTTTTAATTGAATTTGTTGATAGATTTTTGTCTTAAACTTACTACAGTTGGATTTAATACATGGCTAAGTACAAAAACATAACAAGTCTCTTACTGTAAGGTAGTAATCATTTCATGTTTTTTGGGCTGGATACACAAATTTTGTTTCATCGATATCCTGATACCGATGAGTGCTCGTGGGTTGGGTAGGGTTAGTGTTAGGGTTGGGACAAGTTAGGGTTAGAACAGTTAGGTTAGGATAGGGTTAGAGATGGGTTAGGTTAGGTAGGGTAAGAGTTAGGGACGTGGTATAAGAAGTGTACATTTTGATTTTCCGTCATTTTTGCTACATAAACTTATGTTTTATATCTGTCTTTTTTTATCACGAATATGTTTTTATGTTGGGTTAGGTAAGGTTAAGGTTAGAAAAGTTAGGTTGGGTAAGGGTTTGATATGAGTTAGGTAAGGTTGGGTTAGGGATTGGGTATAAGATGTGTAGGTTAGGTTAGGTTTTGGTTTAACATATGTTTAAGGAAAACAACTTATATATTTAAAATTACAATGTAATAAAAAAACAGAAGAGACACCTTAAGTAAAAGAAAAACCATTGGAAGTAAGTTTAAGTACATACGTTTAAAGTGATGTTGGTGTTGAAGCACTTTAATATTAACAGTTTTGAAAAAATCATGTTACAATGTTTAAACCGATAATTACGAATGAACAATTCAATTTTGGTGACATTTTCTACTTCTAACAGGAAAATAGTTGTAATTTAAACAGTAAATTTCTTAATAAATAATACACTAATAGGTTATTTAACAGCGTAAATTCTGATGATACGATTTAAACGCCGTTTTGTTGTTAAGTGTGAATTCAAGTACACTTATTTGGCACATTGTTCAAGTTTAAATCTCTTAATTAAAATATTCCGTAACAATTCACAGTAATGGACCAAAAATATCGTTAGATTTACTACTCATTGAAATATATGGTCTAATGATCACTATAATAATACTACTGATATAAGTAAAATTGGCACTAGTCCATAATTTATTATTTACACAATTAAAGCACATCGAGAGGTGAATGAAACTTTCCTTCATAAACATTGTCTGATTCTGTAAAAGATGTTTTCTGTAATAAAAATATTTAAATGAATAATTTTTCATCACCTTTCAGCTTGAGCCATCTATTCGTTTCTTGCTATATGTATGTTGCCAAATTTCTAACAAAAGGACGCTGGAGTGAAATCGATAAAAAACAAGCAAAGGCAAAGCGATTCTTGAAATCACGCCCCATGCAAGGACTCCCATAAATTTCAACTGTAGCTCCTGACTCAGCCAGCTTTGTGTCACAAAAGAATCGAGAGCCCAAAGTGCCATGTTACTACATAGGAGAAATGTAATCACCTGAAACCATTAAAGACATTTCTAAATAAATTTCTGAGAGAATATTTTACTACTTGTGCTGGATACCTGGCGAGCAGGAGTTGTCAGAAGCTGGTATCGGGTTATTGCGCCTCTTCGAAGTCCCTCTTCTATAAGCGTGCTTTGAGCCACTGACTGCACGAGCTGTAAAGTGCTGAGAGTGAGAAGCATTATGTGCTGTCTCTGCTCGATGCTATGTGGTGGTGCCACATATATGCTGCTAGCTCCAACCACAATCCCAAAAATGGAATATAGTTGAACACCTCCTAAACTGACTGCGGTAAGAAGACCATCGAGAAGCATTGGAGACTTTCCAGTATGTGCCAGTTTACGAATTTGCACAAGACCAGGTACAGTAACAACCACGCTGAGGAAAAGTATAATACCCAATGTGCCAGATGTTATCCAAAAAAGTGTTTCTGCAGGAAATCCCTCATCCTCTTTGACGACAAGGAATATAATAATAACAACTATCGATGCAACAAGGCAAAGCAGGCCTAAAAATAAACCTTTACTCGCTCCTGTACAATCAATCTGCGAGGTTCGATAGTGATGAGCGTCATGAATGCAGCTCGTTTGGCACAATTTCCCATTCATCATTATATTATTATTTGTGGTGCATTTTTTGGAATGCGTTTTCATATGAGATATTCTGTCCCTTCCGACATTTTGCCCCATAACATATGTGACACCAGCAGCAATTAAACTAATGCAAAGAAAAATTTATGAATTTTGATGTAAGTTTTTTTTTTTTTTCCTTTTTACCTGAACTGCACAATAAAAGGGTATAAGAAAGGCATCGACGATGTCCATAATTGTCCGAGTGTGTTGGTGTTTAGGCAATTATGAAGGGCTACAACTTGAGATATATGATCTTCAGATATTGGCTGATAATAATCTCTTTCCCAAGAAGTATTATGAACTGAAACAAAAACAAAACATTGCTGCAGGAAGGGATTTATGATTTATGACTACTTCATTGGACCTTTAGTTGTGGTCTGCATAAAAGGGCAAAATAAAATTTAAAATAATTGTATTTGTATGATTAATGAGTTAATCAAGTACTTAATTGACATCATATAAAGGAATAAGGGAAGGAATTAGACCATACTTTATTTCATAGCCCTGAATGAAGAGTCGATGAAAATGTTTGCATTGATTTTACATCATGGTTCACATCAAATATAAAAGTGACGATAAGGTAATTTGTAATTTAGTTGTTACTGAAATTCGCCATCTTCAGTGTTGGGTCTTGGTCAGAAGTTTTGGTGAAGAATCTGACAGACCAACACAGTGAGGTTAGGCTGACTGAAATTATCAGTAACGACCAAATTACACATCACCCTCCAGACCACATGTTGAAATCTCAATTTCTGTGCACTGTAAATCATAATTATGAGGATTTGTAGTGTTAACTAGTGCTAAAAACATTCCATGTTTAAATTGTGTCCTTACAAAAAGCTGTAGCCCTTTCTCTTCTTGCATGACTGGTGAATGATTTTGGGAAGCCCTTTAACTGCAGAGGGGTCGGTATAATATGAGACGAATGAGAAAAAGTCCCTGCTTGAGCCAGGTGTACAAAATAAGTCCACTCGATTCCACTTTCCCAGATGACTAACCTCATCCACAATGCCAAATTGGTCGCGGCTAAATGCATGAAGCCGAATCGGGCAACCAGGCCAAATTTTTCTACCAATACCTGAAGACAAAACAAAACTGTATAAATTATAAAATCCAGTTCAATTACTTTTTTAAAATATTATAGTCCTTACCTGTGAATTGACGAATAAGAAATGCATTTGTAAGAAGGTGAATAGCCCATGAAGGACAGGATGAACAAAAACAACGTCATTCAAACAAGGCCCTTCCATCATTGAGTGCATTGCCATTTCAAGTCCATTGAACACTAAAGTACCAAGTCCAAAAGCTAAAAAAAAATTAATTAAATAAAATCAATTGACAAAAATATTTTAAAAATTACTACCTAGAGCACCGATTCTCAAGTAAAAACTTGTCGCTGATGTTGCGTCTTTACTAATATGAGCTCTTTTAAGGGACCCAAACCTTGAGAGAGTGAGTCTGCCCATCTCAGCATCTCCCATGACACTCGTAGTTATCGATTCATCCACTTCGCCATTGAATGTGGAACAGCTATCGACAAGGACCCAGATGTAAATTGAAATAATTACAGCAATGCTTCCGACATACAAGTACATCAAGTATATCCCCTAAAAAAATAATATAAATGATAATAAACTGTAAATTAGAAGGAATTAGACTAAAACCAAATGACAAACCTGTAGTGAAAGGAGCTTGACTGAATTGTCCATTACTTCGACTAAACTAAAAGCTATCATAAGTACAACTAAAAGCTTCCCATAAATTGAACTGAGTACAACCCACAAGTAACAACTTAAAAAAAGAAAATACAATTAAAAAATAAATTTGTATTATTGTAAAAATGAGTGATGCTCACAAATTTTCCGTCTGCTCCAACATATCTGATGTATGGGTGTGATTCAACGTAAACTTCGTAGGGCCTACAGGGTTGCTCGGAGTCCAACTTGAGGGCGTATTCAGGCTATCTCTTTCATCGTGTTCATTGTAAACTGAAACAAATTGTATTTGTTTAAATGATTAAGACACATAGACAATACGAAGGCATTAAGGGCAAATCAACCATTCATGACAGCAAATATAAATCAAGTTTTGGACTAGCATATTTTTTTGTACTAGTAGCATATACTAGTACTAGTATATTTTACACTTCATAGAAAACATTGAATCAGCAATGTGTAACATTACTCATGCCTAACTCTAACCCTACCTAACCTAAACTTACCCCCTAACTCTACCAATACCTAACCTTGGGAGGTATAAGATGACAGATTACTCAAGAGTGCAATGCTATTGATGGATTATCTATATCTTAAGACAATTTTAGGGGCCAGATGTGAAATAAACTCCTTTATAGCAGGGTTACTGTTATGGAAAAACCCTAACCCTACCATCCATAACCATCCTTAACTTAACCTAACTCTCCCAACTAACCCTAGGGTCAATATAATGTGCAGTAGAGTTGACTTTGTCAGGATTAAATGTAGTAATGGGTAATGGGGGCTGTCCCCATCTCAGATGATTGATAATGTGTATGGACGATGGCAGATCCTGTGACTGGGTTGTTCCTATCATTTGGAAATAACATTTCCATTCATTCTGTTAATGGTTTCATTTTTTGTCTATTATTTATTTGAGAAGAAAAAAGAGAAATCAAATTTAAATTTTATTTTCGTTAATCCATGTTCTTTATTACAAAAGAAACAGGAGTGTAATTTTCTTTTCATTTACTTGGTTTTATTTATTTTGGATACCTGTTGTTATGGCTTGTCACAATTTGTCCCAGCATACTTTCATTTCAGTTGATGAAAGCTAGTTACTTTGTTTTTAAAAATTTATATCCTCAGTTGACATATTGAGTATAATGTACAAACCCAATAAAACCGGCTGAGTTCAAAGTAAAAACACGTTTCTAACCCTAAACCTACCAAACTAATTACATATAATCCATCCGTAACCCTACTTAACATCCCTAACCCTAGCCTAACCTAACTCTCTTAACCACACCTAACTTAACTCGTCTCTAACCCTAACCATCCTTAATTTAACCTAATTTTCTTAAACCCTATCTCACTTAACTCGTACTTTACCCTAACCTAATGTAACCCACGCTTCCGCACTCCTCGTTAACGCAAATACATCTACATAAAAAAAATATTACTAGACCATTAAAATGAAAGTAAGTACTATTTTATCTTTCTATTTTTTAAACAGCAGCAAAACAAACACATTAAAATATAGGCTACAAAGTCGCCCGTTATGATTGTCTGATTCATGTCAGTAAACATAATGGCAATTCGGCAGTTGACTGTTCTCTCTTGTGTGACTGTTCACCAACTTTTAAACAACTCCGAACCCATTTTCTTTTTCTTTTCTCCCAAATAACAACGCTCCTGATAAAATTTACAACTGGCGTAAGCGACGAAGGTGGTTGTCCTATGTCAATGTAAAGTTAAGCAGTAGTAATCCACAAAAGGTGTAAAAGAAAGATTTCTGACCATAACAATAAAAATAAAATAGGCTGTCCAATTTGCCGAGGGAAGATCATAAACTTTCAAAAATTAATCAAGACATAATCATCCTCGCGCTATTTCGCCATCTTTACCGTCAAAATTATTCTCCGTAGGATAGATTGTTGTCAATTTATGAAAGAATTTCAAGAAAATCATGTAAAAAAATCTTTATATCGGGTTGTTATTTATTTGATAGAAAAATCCTTGTGAGATTTCTTGAAATCTGAAGAATTATTTGTTTACAAACAGTCCTGATTATTGATGTAGAAACTTTCATAAGAATATTTACAGCAATTATATAAAGAAAAACCAAAAAGGAAACGAGTGGTACCACAATTTGGATGTAAAATTAATCCATTTAATTTATTGCTTATCTTTGATCGGGTTAGATAAGAGGGTAAAAGACGAACGCGAGGTTGAAAGAAGCGTTGAATAATCAATAGACTTTCACCATTTCTTTCACGGTCGAATTCCACTTTTCATTATATGGGCAAGGTCAGTGTGTTCTTTTACTTTCGTCCTATTGCAAAACTGGCTGGTTAGGTTGTCCACGATGAAACGAAAGCGATGTGACCAAGCAGGCGTTGTTAAGGCTTAAGTTACAATTTCAGGGCCATTTCTACAAGTAACTTTGGAAGACGAAAATCTTTTTCCACATTAGACGCCGGACGTTTCTTACGGTCAGGAACGTGACTTGTACCTTTTCTTGGCGATAGGTGTTCTTCAACCTTTAGGTCTGAGAACCTAACTTTACCCGTCCCTAACGTAACCATACCTGACCATGATATAAGGTGATAAATTACTCAAGAGTGCACCTCTATTTGGGGGATTATCGGCACAGGGTGAAGTTTTCAAATTTCACAATGAGCTCCCAAATCGACGAGATGGGCTATTTTTCGAAAATAAAACATAACTGGTGGATATAAGGTCAAACACGCCTGCCTAACGTAACTTGCCACAACCCTAACTATTACTAGCCTAAGCAGTTCCTAACCCTAAACTAACCTGACTGTTTAACCTTAATCCTACCTAACCCAACCTCACGTTACTCTCCCTAAAACTAACCATACGAAACCTTGGACAGTAAAAGATAACAGATTACTACAGAGTGCAAGGCTATTTGACAAATTATCGGCCACAGTTGAAGTTTCAAATTCCATAATAAGCCCTAAAATCTACGAGATGGCCGTTGATTAAAGACATGGTAGAAGGTTGGGAAAAAAAGCGTTATCAGTGTGAAAGGGACTAAAATTGAGGAGTAGAAATGTGAAATTAAATAGGCTAGTAAAATAGATAGTTCCTAAGATGTTTAAAAAAATAACTATCCAGCTGTTAGCATCCACAAGGATCACGAAATCAGCAGGAGTTTTCTAAAATGTGAAAACCTACACTTTTATCTTGGTTTACTCTCTGTATTAGTGAACTGTATAACCCGAGGATTTGAATTTTATTTACATTGTGTCAAGAGGAAACATAAATCTCTATCTGGCCCTTAGTAGGTGTAAGATGGCAAATTACTGAAGAGTGCAACGCTATTTGGCGGATTATCGGCCTCAGATAAAGTTTTAACTTCCACAGTAAGCTCCCAAAGCTACGAGATAACCGTTTTTGGAAAATAATCTTATAAGCCGTAACAGGCGTAGACTATGGATCTATTCTGACAGTCAAGTTGCGCTTTCAAAGGCCTCATCTAAGTTAAAGTCAAACACGGCATGGGGCTTCCTGAGTGAACTGGGAGAAGTAGGAAATGAGAACATATTGTCTCTTGCCTGGGTCCCAGGATACACAGCATCGAAGAGTAAGGAAGAGGATGATATACTAGCAAGGGAGGGATCCTCAACAACACAAGAGCCAGAACGCTTCCGTAAACTTTCACACTGGAACAACGCCCCAGGGCAGGGGCAGGCAAAAGGTTTCGTCCAAAAGGGTCTTGCCTGTAGCACCGAAACCTTAACTTAACCTAATTTTTTTAAACTTAAAACTACTTAACTCGTCCATAACCCTAACCTAACCTGACTCTCCTAACCTTTACCCTACCTAACGTAACTCGTCCCTAACCCTAACAATACCTAACCTTGGGAGGTAAAGATTACAGATTACGCAAGAGTGCAACGCTATTTGGCGAAATATCGGCTACATGTATGTGACTCAATATATGAAAATAATGGGAATGGCAGAATATAGCCTTTTAGTGACTCGAGAGTGGAGTGGTTTGTGCTGGCTGAGTGCTCCGTAGTCATGACTACTCGACGACGAGTCAGACTTAAGCTTTTTGAGCTACTGCTTACTGCTTATACAGGTGGGCTGCATGTTCTCCATTTTCATTGGCAGTTGTTTGGGAAGAGGAATCATTGTCGAAGCAGAGGTGGAAATCTTAATTAGCCAACGTTAGGTTCTACTAAGAAGAATAGGAAACCATAGTACACATTACGGCAAGTACAGGTGGCGTGCCATCTGGTCGTCTTTTCAGACCCGGAGCTGAAAAACTCGTCAAAGGCTGTTAAAATCCAAAAAACTACGAGAAAAACAGTTGCGTGTTTTGAGATTTAAAAGTCTTTCTACATTTTTTGAAGGAAAATGACGCGGTCGTGGCAATTGGGAGAAAAAAGTAAAACTGGTCTTCCTCTTTTTGGGCTTTTAACCTACTTGATATAGGTTCATTCCGCTTGCTGGTGCTTTGGCGCATCAAAAGACACCTTTGGTCAATCAGTGCTTGAGTTTGTACCAAAAAGTTCATTGTCAGCTGTACACGATAGTGTTTGATGGTATGATGAATGTGCCTGACCCGTGATGATCAGCACATGAAGAAACTTGATGGCTACAATGGCCGATACGAAATTCGATCTGCCTCAGGTTACCTTTGGCACTAATGTGGAGCCGTCTTAAATCTTCTGAATCAGAAGTAGCTTTTTGTCTTCTGTGCCTTAAACCAAGGGAAAGACAGAAGCCTATGTTCTCGGTACATAGAGAGGAGGACGATAGGGTTCAATCGGGGTAACCGTTTCACCAGACGACATCCAATCTCCAAACTGATCTGTTTCAATATATATTTCCTCCTTAAAGATGAGGACCATTGTTATGCCATTTAATTTGATGCAATTCTAATGAGATCTTCTTCAACAATAACAAGCAGTGAAGGTGATAGTTTAATTTTTTTTCCTGTTGGTAAATCGTCATGCTCGGCCGCGAAAGTTCCTGGGAAGCACGCGAGTCTTCGGTTAAAATAAGAAATCTCAATCCTTCCGGAGTAATTACATTGTAATTAGGAGATAAAGCGCGATTTGCATTCGGGCGCGCGGTGAAGCCGGTCAGTTTCCGGAATGGCATTCACCATAAAGATGCGGACGACCGTAGTTACACGGCAGAAACGATTAATTCGGAAAAGTGAAAACGTGTTAAACCGCCCGGAAAAAGACCGCTAGTGGTTGCACAGTAGTACAAAACGTTTAGTTCCCTAGTCGTTTGTGCCTGGTGTACAC